GTTTATGTCCAGGATGTGTGGGGTCTATAGATATTTTCCCAGCTCTCCTTCTGACCTTGCAATGTACCAGTCTTGTTGTGGCCGCTGGTGGCCAGTGGAGCTGGCAGCAGAGTCGGACAGTGAGGAGGTTGGGGAGGAACTTGGGCCAGTCCTGGGGGCTGGGGAAAGCTCGGACAAGAGCTCTGCGTCAGAGGCAAAGAGGGAGATAGTCAACAGCGAGGCAGAGGAACAGCTGGAGCCCATTCCCAGTATGCGCGTGCACAGAGCTGTCAGAAGACAAGAACAATTAAGAAAGCAGGGTCGACTCGGGAGTAAGACCATACCTTGGAGATAATTGGCCCCTCCCATAGGAAATAAAAGAGGAGCAAACAGGGAGTGGGCTTTTGCAGGAAACAATTTTCTCATTCCGTGACTCTGAGAGACTCTGTGCCAAGTTTTGCCTTGTACTGCGGTTGGAAACAAGTTACGTGGCAGCTTGCCAAACGAGATAAGAAATATTCCTTTGAAAAACTGTTCGGACAAACCTTCCTGATTGTGAATGAACATAATTCACAGTCGTGTAAATAAAAGAGGTTTTGCCAGTAATTCCTGCCTCCTGCTTGTTAAGGGAGCCTAGGTCAGGTCTTCTCTGGAAGGCCGCCTGGATTGCAATTGTTCTTTTCGCAGTCTTAACTATCCACTGGGAGTCTTTTATAGGAATAACTTCTGAAGAGAAACCAAAGAGGCTAGACATTCCAAAATATAAATAAATAAATGAATTCGTTGGTTTTCTAGCAATCGGGGGGAATCCTGAAGACTGGAAAAAGGAAGAACAGACAATTATGGAGAGCCTCGCTCCAGACGTGAAGAAAGATTATGGTGATGATTACATCCATAACTTGAGGACGTACCTCAGTCAGATGAATACGATTTGCTCAGAGGATCTCTCGCCCATCTTCACTGATGTTCTGCATGCTTTACTGGCTGAGCAACCAAAAGGTTTATACGCTCCAGGCAAGAATAGCTACACCTTGCTTCTCGTGTTCTGTTATTTTCCTCTCTGGTTTTATGACTTTTTCATGAGCAAAATAATATGTAACCCTCACATGCCTTATGCTCTCCGAATGTCAGAGCGAAAAAAGCAGGTCGTAAATTGAGTAAGAAGTCCACACGCACCCTTCAAAAAGAAAAAGAAAAAGAAAAAGAAAAAGAAAAGAGGAAGTTGGTAGTCCCTCACATTTTCGACGGTTTGTGCCCTATATTTGATAAGTTGTTCAGCTAAATTACGCAACCTAGGAAACCAGTAAACCATAAACGGAGGTAGAGGTAGATAGGAATATAAGCGTAGATTTTAAAATGGTACCGAAGAAAGAGGTTTTAACCTTATAATAGCGAACATCTTGTGATAACGCCTTCTAAGGTTCACCTTTGTTTTGAGATGGAGATTAGCTTTTTCTGGAATTGTATTTTGTGTTTTGGGGCAGTGCTGAAAAAAAGTCTTCCCTTTTCCAAAGATTCATATCTATATTTTTTCCCCTGATCTTTTGTTTGACCTCATCCAATCAATACTTATTATATGTATACCCAAACAGAACACACCCCCAGCCAATCAGAGCACAACCAACCCCCCATCCAATCAGAGCACAGCCAAGCCCCTAACCAATCAGAACACACCTCCACCCAATCAGAACACAGCCAAGTTCCCACCCAATCAGCTCACACCCCCACTAGCTGTTAAAAGGAAGAGACAGCTGCGATCTCACATTGCTCCTGGAAGCACGAAGCCGAGAACACCAGCCTGAAGATGACGAATGAGACTTCGTCGAAACGTCGCCAAAACACTTCCAATTTTACGTGGGAGAAGACCCGAATAACCAAAGACACACACATATATATATAATTAATTTATATTTTGCTGATAAATAAAGAAATAATGCCTCCTCCCACATGTTGGGGTAGACCAGGTGTCTTGATAGAAAAAAACACACACACATATATATTCCCACCCATGATTTTGCTCAGGAGTATATAAAAGAAAAGAAAAAATGTATTCACCTGGAATCTTCTTCTGAAAACTTTAGGGGAAGAATGTGAATGGATTCTATGCAGATATGTATGAATTTGCATCATCTTGTTGTGTTTTTAAGACATAACAGTTAGTTTGTCCTTTGTGCCAGTTCATGCTTAAGGCGCTACCGTGAATCAACCTGACCTGACATCAAAAGAAGAAAGAACTGACATCTGACCTGATTCCTAAATTACTTGATGGAATTGCCAAACCAAAAATGAAATAAACCTAAGAGATCATAAAAGTTTGTCATTAACAGTAATAGCAGCTGTAGTCAAAGGTTATACTCCGCCTGGGCCAGTTCCAAGAGTGCCAAGAAGGAGGAGAAGAAAGGGTGGGGGGGAAAGACATAGATATACTTACTTTGCAAATAGTGGTTAGTAAGAATGGGTTTCCTGCACAGGAAGAGGAGCTGCAGACCGTTATCTCGTTAGGTGTCATTGTTTTAGGCTGCCAATCAGATTTCTGGAAGGGGATGGGACTTCCCAAGGACTCCTCCTGCGGTTATGAATTTATTTATGGCAACCCCTGGAATCTCCTGAAGTCAGGTGCCTGAGGTCTGGTGAAAATGCCAACAGATTTCTGAGAGAGAGAGAGAGAGAGAGAGAATCAGGACAAGCCGTTGAATATACGGAAGGAAGGAAGGAAGGAAGGAAGGAAAGAAGGAAGGAAGGAAGGAAGGAAGGAAGGAAGGAAGGAAGGAAGGAAGGAAGGAAGGAAGGTTTTTTGTTTGTTTTTTTAATTTGATTTATATGCCGCCCTTCTCCGGAGACTCAGGGCGGCTTACAAGGCGTTAAGCAATAGCCTTCATCCTTTTGTATATTTATACAAAGTTTATTGCCCCCACAATCTGGGTCCTCAATTTACCTACCTTAGAAAGGATGGAAGGCTGAGTCAACCTTGAGCCTTGGCGAGATTCGAACCCTGCAGTAATTGCAGGCAGCTGGTCTTAATAACCAGCTTAATAACAGGGTGCCTTAAACCCCTGTACTACCAAGACTCTTGGGTTCTGCCCCAGCTCCGGATCCCAAGGAGTGTGACACACACCAAGCTCCAAAAACTCCGTTTATTACAAACAGACCCCTTTCAAAATGCAGGCTTCCAGTGCAAATGTCCTTATCAGCCTGCTATAAAGTACAAAGAATAAACAAAGTCCGACAAAGGTTGGCAACCAGCCCAGAAACCAAGATGTGATAAGAAACTCACTCTCCAAAATGCTCTGCGTAATAATTAAACGTTGTTTCCAGCAGCAATTGCTAACTGTGTGAGACTTAAATAGGCTAAGGGAGTGGCCAATTAGCCCCAAGCCTTACTCTCGAGTAGACCTCCTCCTCCTGAGTAGCCACTCCTGCCTTTTGGCAGCCCTGCATGCTCGAGCATTGAGGAGAGGCTCCTCCACTTCACTCTCTGCACTTGAAGGAGCCTCTGGAGATTCTGAAGGCCCTGACTGAGTCTCTGCCTCTGGCACCACATCCTCTTCAGCCTCCTCGCTGTCCGACGCGAGTGCCAGCTGCACAGGGTGCTGGCGCAACACCACACCAGCCTCCTCGTCGTCAGGATCAGCCACAAGCCACGCAGGCCACTGGCAGGCCACAACAGGAAGGAAGGAAGGAAAAGGAAAACTCAGCATCTTTTGTGATATCACAACATTGTTAGCCTGACCCATGTGATTCCCAGCTGCTGGAAAAGGGGGGGGACACAAAACAAGCCCCTCCTTCCACTCTCCACTAAATAAATAAATATTCTAGCCCATTCTAGCATGCTGAGCACTGGGTTTTAGCACAATTGTTGACAGGCTGTGTCAACAATTACGGCATTAATTACTCAAGGATGCTTGGTCAATAATGACTCATCAGAATTCCACAGCCTTCTGGCCAGTCGCAAAGAGCCAAAACGGATCATTTATGAACAGAAGCAATGAACGAAACAGAAGACGAGGAGAAAGGCAGAAAGAAAAACTTGAGAGTGAATATAGAATTTGCAATGTATTTGGGACGCTGCCCACCTTGGATCTCAATAAAGGAGAATATTTGTAGCTCAAGGGTTGAAATGAGGGTTCCTTGGTGCTCTCTGGGGTTAGTGATTTTCTTGCAGTCATTCCATGGCCCAAACTAGGTAACACCAGCAGCACTGATGATGTTACCTAGTTGGGTAATGAAACGTCTGCAAGAAAGCCACCAAGCTCAGAGAGCATCAAGGACCACCTCTGATGTCGACAGGAGGTGTCAGCCATCACATGTACTTTTGTGTCCCTCCTCTGTTCAAATCATGTATGCGTAAATAAATATTACTCAACTTTAAGAGCTTTCCAAATTTGCTCAGAGAATGTCTGTGAATGCTCCATTGGCAAAGTCTTTGTATCCACAATTCTAATTATAACCTGGATTAAAAATTGAGACGTTTGCGTGCCTACAAAGCTAGAGTTGGTGCAACGCTTCTGCTGTTTGGGTTATTGTCCATTCATTTGGGTTATGCCAAATATTTGTAAGGTTGTATGGAATGAGACGATGTAAAAGAAAAGCAAGAGGCCCCCACAACAAGAATCCCCTTGGTCTGTATCATAATAAACATATATTTATTACATTTTTTTTAAAAAAAATTATTTATATGCCGCCCTTCTCCGGAGACTCAGGGCGGCTTACAGTGTGTTAAGCAATAGCCTTCATACTTTTGTATATTTTTATACAAAGTCAGCTTATTGCCCCCACAAACTGGGTCCTCATTTTACCTACCTTAGAAAGGATGGAAGGCTGAATCAACCTTGAGCCTGGCAAGATTTGAATTTACTTTAATTGCAGACAGCTGGTGTTAAATTATAGTGCCTTGTCTGCAGAGCTATCCAGGCTCTTTTAACTTGATCTTCAGCTTCTTGAGAGGTAACAGCAAGCCCTACAGCCCTTTGCCAGCCAACTTTAAACCACACAACACAAAAGAGATTGGGAGAGACAAACGGGTGTGTGAAAGAGGGAATCAAGTTTGATTTTAAGCAGAGTGGGCCATAGGAACATCTCCGATTCTCACAATTTTGAGATGCTAACTGGATGCATAATTCTAGGTGTGGTCTTACTAAGGCTTTATAGAGTGGTATTAGTACCTCACTTGATCTTGATTGAATCCCTCTTAGGATTGTGTAGGCTTTTTCAACTGCTGCTGCACACTACTGGCTCATATTTAACTGGTTTAAGGAAATTGAAGGAAATCAACCCCATAATTTTTAGTAAAAGTAAGCGGTAGAGTTGGTTAAAAAAACGAAAAAAGCTACCGCAAAATAATTTTCAATTAAATAATATCTTAAGGCAGCATGAACAAAGCAGAGCAGATACTGCATACTTAACTGCATTTTTAAATTGTTGGTAGTGTTGGCGCAGGTAAAAGTGAAGTCATAGAAATAAAGGATCAAAGAGACGAAGGGGGAGGGGGGAGAATTTAGGTCAGTTTGACCTGATATGTAATGTAGATGAATATATAAAAAATACAGGCCATGGTGTGCTTATGGTGCCAGCAAGGATCAAGGAAGAAGATTGGTTCCTGATAAAATATGTAACATAAATATCAACATATTAGCAGGCTTTGGAAAGTTCACCAAGTGTTGCCTGGAGCCAGAGACGGCCAAATTTGAAGGAAAATTCCGTTTTCTTAGGTCACGAGTCTCTTCCATTGCTCACATGCGCTGATATGAGCAGGGAAGTTGTCTTGGTTTACCTTGTTTCCCACAAATGCTCCCGATGAGCTCCAAACTCAAAATCTCCTTTTTCTATCCAGTTTCCCATTCTATTTTTTGTAGGTCTTCCATGCCTTTCTTTAGAATCGTAAACTGAGAAACCGGATTCTGTTTACTGTCCAAACTTTAGAAGTTCCCATTAAAGAGAACAGCCCATGAAAGCAGTAGTAAATATTTCACCAACTCTATAAAAGACAACCGTGACCTGGATGATGGAGAATCTCTACAGACTTTTAGCTATACAATTTGGGATGAACACCCTTGGAATGGTGTGGGATTTCGGGAGGAAAAAAATGTAGACTATAGGAACCAGGAGCACTACTCAGGTGACCCAAAGATAAACTTCCAAGTGCTTCAATGACCCTCTAAAAGGATGCAAATGACCAGCTGTCTGCAAGGAATATCAATCCTTCCATTCCCCACTATCATGTTAGAGCTGACGAAGCTTCTTGGATGAGAAGTGAAACGTCTTCAAAAGGAAAAAAAAACAAGGAAGTCCGGTTGCCTCCTGAAAAATCACCTTTGGGACAACTATGACCTGAATGATGGAGAATCTCTACAGACTTCTATAAAACAAAGTTTTAGTTTTAGTTGTTGTTGTTTAAATTTCCCCAGATTTTAACATAGGTTTTTTTTTTCCAGTTTGCCATGATGCAAGTCTAAATAAATGGCGCCACCGGCACGATCAGAAGCAGGAAAGTGACATGGGGGCAACTGGGACATAAACAGGGTTGAAGAAATAGCCCTAACAATTATTGTCACTTGTTGACTGATTCAAACAAAGAAGTCCTCTAGATGAACTGGAAACTAGCTTCCAAAAATAAAATGGATGTAAAGGTAAAGGTTCCCTTCACACATATATGCTAGTCGTTCCCGACTCTAGGGGGCAGTGCTCATCTCTGTTTCAAAGCCGAAGAGCCAACGCTGTCCGAAGACGTCTCCGTGGTCATGTTGCCGGCATGACTCAACACCAAAGGCGCACGGAGCGCTGTTCCCTTCCCACCAAAGGTATTTTCCTACTTGCATTTTTTTACATGCTTTCGAACTGCTAAGCTGGCAGAAGCTGGGACAAGTAACGGGAGCTCACCCTATTATGCGGCACTAGGGATTCGAACCGCTGAACTGTCGACCTTTCGATTGACAAGCTCAGCGTCTTGGCCACTGGGCCACCATGCCCCTTCACTGGGTCCCATTAAAATGGAAGAGCTTGGCCTAAAAACATACTTTTACATAGGCTGCAGGAGACAAAGGGGACTTATGACGGCCCACCATTTGGCCTAACGAATAGCCCTGCTTAAACACACACACAAACACACACACACACACACACACAGGAGATGCAATGGAACCAAAGAAATGCGGTGAGCATGCAGTATTGTACATTTTGTTAGATTGCTCTGCTTGTACCATCTCAGAAGATCCTGCAGCAGTGAAGGAGTTTTTCAAGGGTATCCTTGGGGAAACCTCCTCCTTTTGAGAAACCTGCCCCATAAATTAAGAGACAATTTAGCTTTCGAGCCAATAAAGAATAATCTTGAGAGCTAAACCTATCTGGCGCTTATCAGTTCCTTTCTTGTCTATGGAGATTCTCGGTCCTCCAGGTCATGGTTGTCCCAAAGGTGCTTTTTCAAGAGGCAACTGGACTTTTCTTTGAAGACATTTAGCTTCTCATCCAAGAAGCTTCTTCTGAAGAACTGAAGGAAAAGAGGTAGCTGCTTTAATAAGCTGTAGA